AATAATGATGTAGTCATAGCAGTCGTAGTAGTAGTAGTAGTAGTAGTGGTAGTAGTAGTGGTAGTAGTAATAATAGTAGTATTAGTAGTGGTCGTAGTAGTAGGAGTAGTAGTAATATAGGAGTAGTCGTAGTAATACTATTATCAGTAGTAGTAGTAGTAGTACTAGTAGTAGTGGTCGTAGTAGTAGTAGTAGTAGCCGTGGTAGTAGTAGTAGTAGTAGTAGTAGTGGTACTAGTAGTAGTAGTAGTAGTAATAGTAGTAGAAGTAGTAGTAGTAGTAGTAGTGGTAGTTGTAGCAGTAGTAGTAGTAGCGGTAGTAGTAGTAGTAGTAGAAGTAGTAGTTGTAGTAGTAGTAGTAATAATAATAGTAGTCGTAGCGCTAATAGTAATAGTGGTAGTAGTAGTAGTAGTAGTAGTAGTAGTAATAGTAGTAGTAGTGGTATCACTACTAATAGTAGTCGTAGTAGTGGTAGTAGTGGTAGTAGTAGTAATAGTAATAGTAATAGTAGTAGTAGTAGTAGTAGTAGTAGTAGTAGTAGTTAGTAGTAAGTAGTAGTAGTAGTAGTAGTAGTAGTAGTAGTAGTAGTAGTAGTAGTAGTAGTAGTAGTAGTAGTAGTAGTAGTAGTAGTAGTAGTAGTAGTAGTAGTAGTGTAGTAGTAGTAGTAGTCGTAGTAGTAGTAGTAGTAGTAGTAGTGTAATAGTCGTAGTAGTAGTGGTGGTAGTAGTAGTAGTAGTAGTAGTAGTAGTAGTAGTAGTAGTAGTAGTAGTAGTAGTAGTAGTTAGTAGTAGTAGTAGTAGTAGTAGTCGTGGTAGTAGTAGTAGTAGTAGTAGTAGTAGTAGTCGTAATAGTCGTAGTAGTAGTAGTAGTCGTAGTAGTAGTAGTAGTAGTAGTAGTAGTAGTAGTAGTAGTAGTAGTAGTAGTAGTAGTAGTAGTAGTAGTAGTAGTAGTAATAGTAGTAGTAGTAGTAGTCGTAGTAGTAGTAGTAGTAGTAGTAATAGTAGTAGTAGTAGTAGTAGTAGTAGTAGTAGTAATAGTAGTAGTAGTAGTAGTAGTAGTAGTAGTAGTAGTAGTAATAATAGTAGTAGCAGTAATAGTAGTAGTCGTAGTAGTAGTCGTAGTAGTAGTGATAACCCGTAGTAGTAGTAGTAATCGTAATACTAATGGTGGTAATAGGAGGAGGAAAGGGAGGGGGGAGCAGCAGTAGCAGTAGGTGTAGTAGCAATCGTAAAATAGCAGCAGTGGTTGTCATAGCAGCAGGAGGAGGAGGACGAGGAGGAAGAGGGGGAGGAGGAAGAGAAAAATGGGGAACAAGATCGTCGTCATCGGAATCGTCGTTATGTTCCTCTTCCTCCTCCTCCTCATCCTCTTCCTCGTTCCTCCCCTCCTCGTCGTTTTTTTTTTTTCTTGCCCTGGGCACGGCCCCCTGCATTTGAGCCCGCTGTGCGTGCGCACGGCACAAAGATTATGAAAACCCCAAAATCCCCGTACTACACAACGCCCGTGTGCGCATTCAGTGCCCGTATACACCACAGCGCTGGCAGCTGCGAGCGCCGCGCTCCGACCGCCGCGCCAATGGCTCTCAACAACCGAACAACAGTGCGTCCCTGAGAGCACCACGACGCACGCACGCAAGCGCCGATTTCCTTCGCGAGTGCCACAGAGTCCCTGCGAACACAACACCATGCCTGTGAACACAACAATCTGACAGTATCCTGCGAGCGCCACAAGACGTCCGCGGTCGCCACCGGACGACCGCCGCGACGTGATCATGGGGGGGGGCGAGGGGGCGGGGCCGGTCACGCCCGTGATCGCCTGGGGCTTTTCCGAACGGGCCCTCGGGGGTATATATTCCTTACCTGCCACGCGAATTTAGTGCAACCCCTAAAACACGGGAAGAGAAAACGGGCGCAAGGGGGAAGGACAATAATGGAGCACAAGAGAAATTAGCAGGAGGAGGTCAAGGAGCAAAAAACAAGTGGTATAACCACACGAGCAGATCGGGCGGGAAGACCCATAGCGGGCAGGTCGGGGCGGGCCCAAACGACCAGGTCGAGCAGGCGGGTTGCTGAAACGCGGGCCCTGCATGAATCGAAAAGAATTCTCGAACGATAGCGCGATTCCGCCGCAGATCATGAACAAAAAACCAAAGCGAGAGCGTGATTCCCCAGCGCCGAAGGCGCATCGTCTGAATAGACTACGAAAAACTGCCACGCGAGAGCGCGATTCGTGTACAAATTGCGAGGAATCCCCACGCGCAAAAGCGCGATTTGGGAATAAGTTGTGAGGAAATATCAGGCGGGAGCGGCTGTTGTTGTAAACTGGGGGCCAACATCGCAATTTGAGACCCACGACTTCCCCCGGGTGAAAGCCCCGGGGGAAGCACTTCACTTGAAAATTGCTCCGACGGTAGGACCCCGCATGAGAATATGTTCAGCTTCCCCTTAGCCCTCTCCTCCTCTCCCTGGCGGACACTCTCCTCTCGCCCTCTGCTCTGGCCTCTCCTCCTCCCTCTATGTATCCTCCTCCTATTCCTCCCCCTCCTCCTCCACCTCCTCATCTCCTCGTCATCGCCCTCCCCCATACTCCCCCCCCTTCCTCATCCTCCGCCTGCATCTTCTCCGCGCGCACCTCCCCGCCCCCCTGGTCGGCGCAAGCACATCGATGTTTCTCGGCGCCGTCGCCGCCCGGACAATCGCGCGCGCGTTTGCCGACGGCTAGATCGCGAAGCCGTCGGGGCAACCCTTCGGGCCAGGCCGTCGAGGCAACCCCGCGAGCCGCTGGGGCGCGAGAGCAAGCCGTTGGGACAACCCCGCAGGCGCCGAGCTAATCGCGGCCGCGCTCAGGCGGGAGGCAGCACGAAGCCCAGTTCTGCCGCGAGCTGCTCCGCCTCAGCCCTGGAGCCCACTGCTCTCCCGTAGAATTGCCCGATCGCCTTCCGCAGGGACGCCGGCGGCCCGCGCTCCAGGACGTCTCGCGCGGGCGGCCGCAGGATCAGCATGTCCCGCATGCACGTGGCGCGGGAGAACATGACGTAGAGGTGCGGCCACCACTGATCGCCCGACATGCCCGCGCGACCAGCGCCCTCAAACCTGGCGCAGTCGACGGCGGCGCCCTTGCGCAGCGTCTGACCCTGCGACAGCGCGGAGGTCAGATAGGACGCGCGCGCCAGGGTGAACCCCGAGCGGCGCACAACGTGCGGCCCCGAGCTCTGCCGCGTGAACTCCTGCTCGCCGGGCCTGAACATGAGCAAGCTCCTCGCCCGCGCCTCGGCCGCGCCGTCGTCGTCAGCGCCCTCGGCGCCCTGCAGCAGCGCCTCGGCGACCTCCTTGTAGATCGGGGACTCCTTGAAGCCGTGGGCCTGCATCCAGATTCCCCGCGGTAGGTAGCGGGGGCGAAAGAGCTGGCCCGGCGCGCGCCCCTCGGAGTCTCGCTGGTCGTCTGCGCGAAACTCGAAGGACACGACGGTGGCCCGCTGCTCCTGCACGAGCCCCAACTTCTTCTTCAGCTCCTCCTGCACGGCCGCGAACCGAACCTCCATGCCGACGCGTGCCGGCAAGACGCCGTGGATGTCACCCGTCTTGCGCATGTTCGGGACGTTCAGGAGGCGGCGGCCTGCGTCTGGGTCGCCTTGAATCGTGCCGCGCTCATCTACGGCCTGCAGGAAAACGAGGGGCGCGCCCAGACGCCGCGCGCCACGACGAGCACGCGCGTTGATCCACCTCGCGAGCGTCTCCCAGTAGACGCCCACACCGAAGCCGAGCCGAAAGTTCTCGCGCCGGCGCCGAGGGCCCAGGGCGCAACGGTTGTCCGAGGCCAACGTCTTCCCCCAGGCAGACCAGACCTCTGGCGGGAAGCGCTTGCCCTCGCGCGCGCAGCCCGAAAACGATCGGAGGGCCCCCGGGCTCGAAGCGCTTCGCGCCCTTCAGCTCGAAGACGCAGGGGGTGCGAGAGAAGACGCCGACGCCGCTGATGGCGCGCTGAATCTCCACCGTCGGCGGCCCCGCGTACTTGTAGGACCCGTCGCCCCGGCGCTCGTTCACGTCCGACAGGGGCCCGATGCTGCCGGCGGGCTTCAGCTGTAGAAAATCGCCGAGGTGCACCACGATGGGGGCGCGCCCGAAGCGGCGATGCGGCCTCTTGCAGGCGGGCCCCTGCACGTCGCGCGCGTCGCTGCGCCCGCGGCAGGCGCGAAAATCCAGCGCGCGGCGCAGAGCAGCCGCCACCATGCTTACCTCCTCGATGACCAGAACGCGGACGTGCTCCAACAACCACCTCAGCCTCTCCTGCATGCCCCGCGGCCTCATCTTCGCGTTGATGTACTTCTGGACTCGCAGGGCACAGGCGTTGCGCAGCGCTCTGGCCTTCGCAGTCTCCGCGGAGATGTTCTTCGCCTGCGCGCTCGAGAGAGCCACGGCCATCATGGCGCCCATGTCCTGCGCCGACGAGAGCCACAAATACTCCACCACTAGGAAAACGACCTTCTGCACCGCGTGCGTCTCCCCCGAGCCGCCCCGGCCCAGCAGGAGCAAGTGCGTCACTTTTCTCTCGCCCCAGGGCCTCTTCTGCACGTCGCCCCCCGGGGCGTCGTCGCAGGCCTTCGCGAACTTGGCGACGAAGAGCGCCTGGCCCCGAGCGAGTCTCTCGTTCTCCGGCAGCCCAGGAACCAGGGCGGCTATGCACGCGCTGGGCGTTGAGCACACGCTGCGGGCAAAACTGGCCGCAGCGGGGTCGCAGCCCAGGCCGCCAGCGCCCTCCTCCTCGCCGTCGTCAGCGCCCGCGTCATCCTCGTCGCGATTGCCCTGGAGCCGGTCGTCACGCAGGTTTGCCCAAGCGCGTCTCTCCTCGCGCGCTGCGGTCACCAGCGGTCGGTATCCGGCCGCGGACGCAAGATCGGTCGCGGCCTCCGTCGGCCGGGGCGCGCCCGCGCCCTCCCGGGCGGCCTCGGACACGCACGAGAGCGCGAGGAGCTCCTTGGCCAACCTGCCCCACTGCTGCGGCCGTATCCGGCCTGCCCCGCTCAGAGACATGCTGGCTGATCCTCCTGAAGTTCTGCAACCTGGCAGGGCCCTGCACCCGGTGCTCTAGGATGTCGCCCACCAGGCCCATGTAGTAGCGTCCGCCGTCGGGCGACCCCTCCAGCTGGACGGGGACCTTCGGGGCCAAAATCACGAACACTGCGACGCCCGCGTCGCAATCAATGACTGCCCCCAGCTTCTTGAGCACCTGCTTCGACACGAGGATCGGGACGTCCTTCGCGAACCCGTTGATCGCGATGTCCCCCTCGTTGCCCGCGCTCGTGATCCCGAACTCCACCTGTCCGTCGGCGCGCTCCTTCTCTCCGTCCCCGAAGCTGGCTGGTAGCTTCGGTTCACTTCGCGGAGCCTCGTGTCGCCGTACTTCTCTAGGTTCTTGCGGGCTACGATGTCAAGCGCACGCTCGCCTCCCATGGTGTCCGCGCAGCCTAAGTCGACGACCCCCTTGCCCTCCAAAATGGCTTGTTCCGCGAACATCGCCTCACTTGGTGAGTCCCCAGACTCTTGCTCGGCGACCCTGGCGGCCACTAGGTTAAACTGCAGCTCCTTCACGCGGATGGCCATCTTCGCGCTCGCCTCGGGCGCCTTGGCCACTGCGGGGCCGAGGCGAGGATCGCGGCGGTCAGGACAATCCTGGAGCCAATGGCCACCTCCACACCTCGGACACTTATTACGCCCTTTGTTCGGGGGTTGGATCGCCCCTCGGCCTCCGCACTGGCTGCCCATTGGCCGGCGAGACCCCGCTGGGAACCCTCCGCCAGCTCCTCCGCCCTCCGGCGAGCCCGGAGCAGGGTTCGCTGGGCCGTGTGGAGCGCAGCCAATGCCTCGGCCACCTCCTGCTGGGCGGCCACGTGCGCCTCGATATCCTCGCCATTAGCCTCGGCCATGTCACGTTCCCCATCGAACTCCTCGCACTCCTGCTCCGCTGCGAAGCTGCCCGCACCCTGCTCCACGTGGTCCGCGTCGAGCCAAGCGCGGCCATCGTCTCCCATCTGCGCCGCGCACGCCTTCGGGCATCGAGCGTGGCCATCTCGCTCTGCCAGGCCATCGCCCTCCCAGGTCGAGATCGGCTTTTCGCGGATCCCGCTTGCCTCCAGCGAGCCACCTGCGGCAGTCACGATGGCAGATCTCCCCCTGGAATCCAGGCCCGCGCGCGCGAGCATCAGCCAACCCCGGACGATGCTCGGGGAGACCTCTGGCATGTCATCCAACTCCTCCTCGGCGTCATCGTCGTTGGTGACACTCCAGGTGCGCGACCATATATCGTCTTCTCCTCGGCCGTCGGTGTACCCCCACGCCCAGCTCGGGCCCTCGTCGTCTTCTTCCTTCTCGACTTCAACCCATCTCCAGGGTCTGGGGGCCCAGCTCGACGTCGAGTGAGGACTCTGAGTCGGGTGGCCGAGTGCACGTGCCAGCGCTCGCCGAAGGTACTGGTACCGGAATCTGTCGGTCCACTGCTGCATGGGCTCGAGTTTCCTGCGCCTGGTCTTGATCAGGAACGTCTCCAGCTCCTGACCCACGTCTCGGACCGCCCGGCGTGAGCAGCGGCGCTCCAAGCACACCAAGAGGCGCTCCACACCGTCATCTATCGAGAGCCATCCTCACTTACAGCGCTCAACCGTGAGTCTCGCCTCTAGCCTCGGGCCACACAAGTACCTGTCTTGTCTCTTGGTGCCCTCCTGGTACTGGAGGGCCTTCCGTCGATACGTCCGCCAGGTCTTTGGATCTCCATCCCAGCCTGGCACCTTGTCGCCGCGATGTTCCTCCTTCATCGCGTTATCCGTGGATCTTCGTGTCAACCACGAGCTCCGCTACCATGCAAGTCGTTGGCGGAATACGCACAGCGTCTCCAACTCCTTTTTCTCCCACACGGTCGACCGTCCGACTGGGCTCTGCTAACAGAGCTACCATCAAAACATGCGCCCGCAAGCACAAGCGAGGGGGAGCTCGCTTGACAGAATGGCAAGCGGAGAAAAAATATGCAACATATTATCACGCCTGCACGTGCATGTGATAATGGTTCCTCCACGGAACCCGTGTCTCTGCAACTATCCCGAGAAAACTCCAGAGCCTCATAGGGTACACCACTTTGGGCCCCGCAACTGAAGACCTGTAACCATGTGTGTCATGTAACATGGATAACCTGCTCAGGTTTGCCTACTGAGATTTGCACTATGGGGCCACGAAGCGATGTGCTGGGTGTGGCGGACGCATGCGGGCACCCCCACTGGGGCCTTCGGTGGAGCTCCCCATGGGGCCACGAAACGCTGTGCTGGGTGTGGCGGACGCATGCGGGCACCCCCACTGGGTTTTTCGGTGGAGCTCCCTATGGGGCCACGAAACGCCGTGCTGGGTGTGGCGGACGCATGCGGTCACCCCCACTGGGGCCTTCGGTGGAGTTCCCTATGGGGCCACGAAACGCTGTGCTGGGTGCGGCGGACGCATGCGGGCACCCCCATTGGAGCCGTCGGTTGAGCTCCCTATGGGGCCACGAAACGTGTGAGGGGTGTACCGAAAGGGGTGATGATGACGATCGTGACGGTGATGGCGATGATTGTGATGATGATGATGATGATGATGGTGATGATGATGTTGATGAAGAGGATGGTGATGATGACGTCGATGATGGTGATGATGGTGATGATAATGATAATGATAATGATAATGATAATGAGAATGGTAATGGTAATGATAATAATAAATATATTCAGAATAATAATAAAAATAATAATGATAATACCAATAAAATAATAATGATAATAACAATAATGGTAAAATTGATGATAATAATAATAATAATCATAATAATAATACAAAAAAAAGATGATGATGATGATGATGATGATGATGATGATGATGATGATGATGATGATGATGATGATGATGATGATGATGATGATGGGCCGGAGGGGCGAGGAGGAGGAGTGAACGCGGGGCGCTGTCTCTTCAAAACAAGGACCCAACACCACAGGATGGTTGGGAAAAAAGCAAGTCCGTTTGGAATGGATTTCGGCGCGCGCCCTTTTTCGTCTCCAAAGAACGAGCCACTACGATATACCCGGGCCAGAAGAGCCCAAAAGTGACGACAGTTACAAGTTCTGGATGACCCGCCAAGATTACCAACATGAAATGAGGGCCCCATAGGGATGGGGGTTCCCGCCTGAGACTTCCTCGCAATTCACTCACAGACGAGACTCCCGCCTGCGACTTCCTCCATACTCAAGCCTGCGGAGCCCAAAAGTGACGACGGTCACAAGTTTCCGATGACCCGCTCGCAGTACCAACATGAAATGCGGGCCCCATAAGGATGGGGGTTCCCGCCTGAGACTCCCTCGCAATTCACTCACAAACGAGGCTCCCGCCTGCGACTTCCTCCATACTCAAGCCTGAGGAGCCCAAAAATGAGGACAGCTACAGGTTGCCGATCACCCGCTCGGATTACCAACATGAAGTGCGGGCCCAATAGAGAAGGGGCTCCCGCCTGAGACTCCCTCGCAATTCACTCACAGACGAGGCTCCCGCCTGAGACGTCCTCTATACTCGAGCCAGAGGAGGTCAAAAATTACGACAAATACAAGTTCTGGATGACCCGCTCGGATTAGTAACATGACCTGCGGGGCCCATAGGAAGGGGGCTCCCGCCTGAGACTCCCTCACTATTCACTCACAGACGAGGCTCCCGCTTGAGACATCTTCCATCGTCAAAATGGGGACTGAGTGATGACGAAATGATGAGTGAATAATGATGATTATGATGAGTGAATGAGTGGTGGTTACGAATAAGGCTTCAGTGTGTGAGTGTGATGATGATGGTGATCATGAAAGCGTGTGAATGTGTGTGGTAGATGAGGATGACGATGATGATGAATGAAGGAGTGAGTGGGAGTGAGGGATCCGGACGAAGAGACGGGGTGTGGGTGAGGACTGCGCGGGGTGTCCAGAGAAAACCAGAACCCACTTAGGATGTGGGGGAGAATCAATGGTCACTGGACGGGGGGGAGCAACAATAATTATTATTTTGTAGTGGGAGTTCAATCAGTTTGAAATTGCTCGCTTTTACTAGCACGCGTGTCTTGCATTATGTATACCCTAACCTTCGATACCCGCCCACTTCGTCTTCGATCGCGCCCGTTTTCGGCGGGAGTATCTTTGTTGGCCAGTGAATGTAATGCGAGAAAGTCTCGAACGACAGCGCCGCTCCTGACATCGGGGGCCTCTCTGGCCAGGGACTCTCGGAATACATATTGAAGAATATTGAGCGGGAGCCCATACCGCCGTGTCTGGGCCTCGACCAACTTGCCTGAAGTACACCAAAGTCTGGTGCGAGAGCGCCACTCTTGAGTTCGGGGGCCTCTCTGGCAAGGGACTCTGCAAATACATATTGAGGAGTATCGAACGAAAGCCCTTGTCGTCGTGGTTGGGCCTCCACCAGCTTGACTGAACTGCCAGATAGTCTCGAGCGAGAGCGCCACTCTTGAATTCGGGCGCCTTCCTGGCCAGGGGCTCTCTCGGAGCTAATCGTGGGGAAGTATTGAGCAGGAGCCCTTATCGTCGTGGCTGGGCCCCCGCCACCTTGACTGGATTGCTAGAAGTCTCGAACGAAAGCGCCGTTCCTGAGTTCGGTGGCCTCTCTGGCCAAAGTGTCCCGGGGTACGTAATGGGAAAATATCAAGCGAGAGCCGTCGTGGCTGTAGCCAGGCCCCCAAAGGACACACATTTACAACCAAGCCCGCGATCGAGCGTGAGCCTCGTTGTCATAAGAATTGCAGGCGGCGTCAAGGCGAAACCGCGCGGGACCGTTTCCAGCGATCCTCAAGAACTGTTATCCAGAAACGAAACAACACAACAACAACAACAAAAACAACAACAACAACAACAACAACAACAACAACAACAATTACTAGCACGTGGGGACACACCGTTCTCACCAGTGCCAGGGTTTTCATAGGAGGCGGGCAATACCCCCACTTTGTGGGGGGGCCGGTTCAAGCTCTACCAAATTTCCAAACGACTCTTCGCCACCACCCACACCCAGCTTCCCGCCCTATGACGTTCGGACACTTCACTTCGTGGCATGCGGACGACCGTGGCTACTATTCAGGGCCCCGCGGCCGACGACGACGGCGTGCGCGCGCGAAGAAAAAAAGAATGTGTCCCGCATGGTATTATTTGACAGGGATGATGGCCCTGGCAGGTGCGCAACCGTTGTTGCAGAAGTTCGAAAAAGTTGGTCGCAAGAGCCCGTTTGACAGAAATGTTGAAAAAATATTCGGTTTCCTCAGAAATCCGCAAGAGCGCGCGGGATGATTTTTTGACAAAAATTTTGTGAAAAAACATTGGGTTTTTCATGTTTTATGTTAAAATCGCTACGAAAACTAAGGTTTTGGAAGGATTTCATCTTGCGCGCGCGAGTGTGCACTTCGTGTCATCTGTTCCAAAGGATTCTTGAAGTTTGGTTATGTTAGAACAAGACATGTCATTTTATATTGGTTTTTGACAGGGAAAGCGGGCGTCAACAAAACAACCGGATCTGGATCACATCGTTTTGCCTGAGACTTCCTCACGAAAATTATGAAAATGAGGCTGCGGCCTAGGCGCGGCGAGGGGGCCATGCACCAGGGGCCCCAACAATAATTATTCTTTAGAAATAATAATGTTCAACAACAACAACAACAACAACAACAACAACAAATCATTTTACCCGAACGCTCAGTGTTCTCACCAGTGCCAGGGTTTTCATGCGACGCGAGACAATACCCCCACTTCGTGGGGGGGCAGTTCAAGCTCTACCAAATATCCAAACGACTCTTCGCGACCACCCAAACCCAGCTTCCCGCCCTATGACGTTGGGACACTTCACTTCGTGGCGTGCGGACGACCGTGGCTACTACACTGGCGTGGGGTACACACCCACAGAACTTGGTCACTTATTCGGGGCGCGCGTGTGCCCAGCATCCTGCAATTGTGACATACAATACATGACACAGACAGACAGAGAGAGAGACAGAGAGCAGACAGAGAGAGAGACAGAGAGAGCGGAGTTGGTCACATTTTTGGGGCAAGTTCCTGAGATCGTCGTGTTTTTTGTTGGTCTTGCGCGCGCGAATGTCCACTTTACTTTTTTTTGCAAGGGAGTATTGAAATTTGATTATGTTAGAACAAGAAAAAGTAGCTCGCGCGAGCTCATGTAACATAAATGTTGAAAAACCATTGGTTTTGTGGGAGTCGGACAGCGCGCGCGGGATGAAATTTGGACATTTTTTTTTGAAAAACCATTGGGTTTTTGATGTTTTTATGTTGAAATCGCTACGAAACCTAAGGTTCTGGAAGGATTTCGTCTTGCGCGCGCGAATGTCCACTTTACCTTATTTTTTGCAAGGGATTATTGAAATTTGATTATGTTAGAACAAGAAAAAGTAGCTCGCGCGAGCTCATGTAACATAAATGTTGAAAAACCATTGGTTTTGTGGGATTCGGACAGCGCGCGCGGAAGGACATTTTGACAATTTTTTCTTAAAAAACC